TATTAGTATAGTATATAGTAGATAGATAGTAGATAGATTGGGTAACATTAAATGAGTTTATTGAGCAAACACGACAGATTAATTTGCAATGTTTATTTTTAAAATATCACATTTGTATTTTCACAATTGTAATGCAACTACATTACGACAGATTCCTTGAACTCAATCCAATTGCAAAGCTTCTTGACCGCAACCCCAAAAAGCATATCGGCCACCTTATTGTTCTCGCGGGGAACATGAGAAATCTTAACTTCCAGGCCCATTGTAGAGCCTTAACCAAAATTTGAGATATATATATATATATATATATATATATATATATATATATATTAAAACAGATTGAGTTTTGGTGGACCAGAAAATGTCTTTGCGACATTTTAACAAACAGGTGGCGGGTTCTGTAACTGTGCACGGGTAATGATCACTGGATGCAAGGTAATGGAGATTAAGTTGCTTTAATAAATGACGTGACATTTAATGGTTCTTAATATAAATGTTTTATCAAAAAAGATAGTCAAGATAGTAAAATATAATTTTTGTATATGAAGATTATACATTTTATTATTGTCAACGTCCTTTAGATCGGACCGACACAAAACTTTTACAAAAATATAATTTATTTAATGCATGCACTACATAATAGTACGAGTTTTCTAACTAATTAAATTAAATATTTCCCACATGAATGCATGATATAAACAGGTATTTTACCTGCAATTAAACAAAGAAAAAAAAATATTTTATTTGCAAAGTTATTTTTTTTTGGTGATAGATTTATAGGTGAAAATTTACTTTTAGTCATTTTTTTTTTCAAAACATCCTCCTTTAGTCTTAGTATTATTGTGACATGATATTTTTTGTCCTTCATCAACAAAACCGTTTAAATTCAGTAAAATACAATGACATTTAGGTCCTCAATTATGAAATTTTTTCAAAAAAAAAAAATAAAAATAAAAATATAATAGGTCAATCCACTTTGTATAAAAAAGATCGAAATACTTTTGTATTTAACGACAGAGTAAATTTCAATTTTGGCATCTGACTATTGTGTCTTGTTAATTGTAATCCACGACTTTTTAAACTGTTAATTAGTACCTTAATTATTTAATTTTTATCAATTTTGGTCACTTCGACCAAATTACCGGCGGGAAATTTTTATAGATTAAAATAATAGGGGCAAATTTGTCTTTTTAACTTCTATTTCTCTTCCTTCCTACTTCCGACGACTGTGCCTGAGCCGCTCGGTCGCTGCAGAACACCGGCAGCCGAGACCCATGACTGATCCGAGTCCGAATCGGAGAATACTTCCATATTAACGTCGGCGGCCTCCACAGTCAGCATTCCACACCAAACGTCGCCGTTCACCTCTAGAAAGAAAGAAACACACTCACAAAAGCTCAGAAAAGGCCATTGACGACAAGCGCGAGGGAGGGGAAGAACAGAACCGATCAAAGTGCCCTCAAACAAATGAAACTACTAAAGAAAAAAGTAAAACGACAAGAAAGAAACTGAAGAGTGTGGTGCTGGGAATTAGATGAAAAGAGAAAGAGACTAGTAAGTCTACGGATGGAGGATATATAAATGGAACAAGTAGACTTGGATCACCACCAACGGAGCAGTATGACTCGAATCACCACCGCAACCGTCGGAGTTTATGGGTTTATCAACTTTTCCATCAGCAAGTGGGTGTGGATTTCTGACATGGTAAAGCGCAAATTAAAGAATTTGGTGATGGAATTGAAGGCGTTTATTCGACTTCGTCATTTTGCAAATTCTAGAGCATGAATGCGTGATGAAGGAGAAGGAACAGAAGAACTTGGAGTAAAAAGACAAAATTTGCCCCCATTATTTTAGCTTATAAATATTTTCGGGTACTTCTTGTGGCTAATTTCGTCGGAGTGACCAAAATTAATAAAAATTAAATAGTTAACGTACTAAATTAACAGTTTTGAAAGTTATGAATTGCAATTAATAAGATCGTAATAGTCATAGGACCAAAATTGAAATTTACTCTTTAACGACATTTTAACGATTTTGTTGACGGTGGACCAAAAATGGTCATGCCATAATACTAGGACCAAATGAGGATGTTCTAAAGGACTAAAAATGGACTGCTGCCTATAAATCTAGGATACAAAATAAAATTAACTATTTACTTGCAATTAAGAAAAAGTTTTCAGATAAGAAAACATAATAAAATAATTTATAAAATACTCTGTAATCAAATAGAAACAAAAATATTTTTGAAGGTGTGATTAAGGAAGAGAAGATGTGAGGAAAGAAAAAAAGAAAAAAAATCTGGAAAACAAAACATCAAATTAATGCGCCCGACTGGGCGCTAAGTTGCGCCATGACCAAATGCAAGTCATTTTTACACTTGGTGGGGCTTACTTATTTGAGCCGTTTCGACCAGCGAGGGGCATAAGCTAAGGCAGGGGGATGCGATGCCTCCAACTATTTTTGTCCTTTGCATGAAGAGGCTAAGTCTTTAATTGTCTCAGAAGCCGAGCAAAACAGGTGGAAAGGGATTAAGCTCGCTCCTACGGGCCCACTTCTAACACATCTTTGTTTTACAGATGATATGGTGCTATTCTCGGAGGCTTCCCACGACCAAGTTGAGGTAATTCAAGCCTACCTGAACCATTTCTGCGCGACGTCAGGTCAGAAGATAAGCCTTAGCAAGTCCCAAGTGCTTTTTTCAAAAAATACGGACCCGAACCTTGCTTCAGACATTGCGGGTTCTCTTAATATTGAGCGCACTGCTGATCTCGGAAAGTATCTTGGGGTGCCCTTGTTACATGGGCGCGTCACTCGCGACACCTATTCCGACCTCCTCGAAAGAATATCTGGACGCCTTGAAGGCTGGAAAGCCAAAACCATGTCTTTGGCGGGACGTGTGGTGCTGGCCAAGTCGGTGCTCAATGCGATTCCTGTGTATACCATGCAAACAGCTGCCCTTCCAAAAGGGATTTGTTTGGAAATTGAGAAACGCACTCGACGGTTTATATGGAGAGGCAAAGAGGGATGCAAGAAGATGAGCCTCGCGAGCTGGGACCTGGTTACAACACCGAAAGTGGCGGGCGGCCTGGGTCTCAAGAGGTTGCACGAGATGAATTCTGCGTTCATGGTTAAATTGGGGTGGCGTTTGAGAAAGGAGGCAACCGGCCTCTGGGCCAGAGTTCTCACTTCGAAGTACTTGAGGATGGGAACTGTGGGTACAGAGTCAAGGAGGTCACAGAAGGCTTCAAATGTTTGGCGGGGAATCACTGCAGCTAGCGATACGCTGGAAAAGGGTGTGAGGCATGTCGTTCATAATGGGAAAGCTACGAAATTTTGGATGGACAAGTGGATTGAGCCGGGTGAGCTATACGAGCAGATGCGATCCCCGATAAGTCTCCCCGACTTATATGCTACCGTTGATAGATATTGGGACGCTAATCGTGTTTGGAAATGGGAAGATTTAGACCATCTGCTACCAGCAGCTACGAAGGACAAACTGGCCGGTTTCGTGCTGGCAGATGGGCGCACTGAAGATGATATCGGCTGGGGACCTGACCAAGGTGGGAGGTTTTCGGTCAAGTCAGCATATGACTTGATCGTGCAGAATGAGGGGAACGCCGTGACTGACGACTGGCGGCGGCTGTGGAGGTTGCGGATCCCTGCAAGGATCTGCATGTTCTTATGGCTGGTCACGCATGGGAAAATCCTTACTAACGCAGAGAGGGCTCGATGCAAACTAACGACTAATGCATGTTGTTTTCTCTGTGCAGGTCAGATCGAAGACCTCACACATCTGTTCAGACTCTGCCCGTCAGTGGTGAGAATATGGGAATCATCTCTATTTAGACGGACTGCAGCGAAGCTCAATGGCCTGGACTGGTCGTCTTGGCTAAAGCTGAACTTGGAGGGGGCTGCGAAATGGGGTTTTGACGAGGACTGGCCAAAGCGGTTTTGCATAAGACTCTGGTGGATATGGCGGTGGCGCAATGACGAGGTTTTTAACTCTCGATCGATGGGGTTTGGGCAGAAGATGGAGTGGCTTACGAGGTACGACACGGAGGTCAAAGCGGCTTTTGCAAAGAAATGGGACCCAGCGACGGGGTGTTTACCGCCTGCAGTGTCTCAGGGAGGATGGCGAAAGCCATCCAGTGGTTGGTTAAAGTTGAATGTTAATGGCTACAACAAAGGAACTGGAGAAGCGGGTTGTGGGGGCCTCCTCAGGGATCCGAGAGGGGACTGGTGTCGAGGTTACATTCATCGGATTGGACGCTGCTTCGGAGATGATGCGGAGGCTTGGGGCATCCTTATGGGTCTCTGCGGCGCGAAATTTTACGGCGTCACCAAGCTGATTGTGGAAAGCGACTCTAAAAAGATGGTGGAGATGATGAACGCAGCCATTGAAGGGGTTGCAAGCGGCAATAATGTCATTCAGAGAGTCGTTCATGAAGCGGCGAGTATCCATGAAGTGGTCTTAGTGCACGTATACAGGGAACAGAATCGGGCGGCTGATACCATGGCCAAGATGGCGCTTTCCCGTCCGATAGGACTTCAAGTTTTTACGGAGTCTCCCCAAAAGGTGCGTGAGACGATCGATCAGGATTGGTTGGGAGCCACTTTTCCCAGAAGAGTCCTCAGAGCCATTAATGGCGAGACGAATCTTTGCTAGTTTCTTTGGGTCTCCACCCTCCCTTCAGATCAAAAAAAAAAAAAAAAAAAAAAAAAAAGATGTGAGGAAAGAAAAAAAGAAAAAAAAATCTGGAAAACAAAACATCAAATTAATGCGCCCGACTGGGCGCTAAGTTGCGCCATGACCAAATGCAAGTCATTTTTACACTTGGTAGGGCTTACTTATTCAAGTAAAAATTAACTCTTTGCAAATTTTTTTTTCTTTTCTTTTTCCTCTCCTCTCCCTCTCTCTTTCACATATACCTTCATTCCACAAAAACCACACCAAAAACTTGGCCTAAAACAAAAGCTGAAAGAAACTGATGGTCTACGTGAGATGATTTTGTATTATTTATTTTCCCGTAAATTAAAAGACGTCAGACACAAATGGTAAAGGTTCGTTGTTCCCGGTGAGCGCTTCCTGAGGATCGCACCACACTCTCCACAAAGCCCACGAAATTTCTCCCAACAAATTCGGGAACAATAAAAGACACAAAAAAAAATTTCCCAGTTTCCTAGATGTTTTGATCTCTCACCTGCGTAGGAAAACAATCCAAACCTCAGTCTTTTGTTGTGTTCTTGATGATGAGCCAGTGAGAGACAGGGAGAGAGAGAGAGAGAGATGAGGAAGCTGTCTCGCAACGTTGAATGTGTGAAGAACACCCTTCACAACCGCAAGGACAAGAAGAATGGGGAGAGCTTTTGTGAGCTGTCTCTGCCCTTGTTCTTTTCCTTCTGGTGTCTTCTTTTCTTGCTTTATTCTGCTTTCGGCTTAACTCGGGGCAATCACCATGGTATTTTTCTCTCATTTTTCACCCTTTTTCTTGAATACCCATTTCTCTAATCTTGATTTTTGAAGTCTTGAATGGTGTTTTCCTGTAGTTTGGGGATAACCTTTCTTGTTGGTTTTTTTCTGGGTGGAAAGTTTAAGAAAAGAGGGGGGTTTCTTGTCTTGTTTAATGTTTTGAAGCTTCATATTCTTTCTGGTGTTTCTTTTCTTTAAAAAGGAATGTTTTTTTTTTGTTAGTTTTGCTCATTTGGTGCTTGGAATGCTCTCTCTTTAAAATTCTGAAACTAGTTTGTTCTTGGCAAAACTTAGATTAGGTTGTGTAATTACTTCAATTGTTCTGCAGTTTGAACATGGATGATTGATAAAATCAATGAATCTATAACTTTTGGTGTTCTGTTATGAATGGAAATCTTTAGTTAATTAGGAAAGGATTTGATTTTGCAGGTGACTTGCAGGCCTATAATGAGAGTGGATGCAATTCTGTTGTTTCTGAAACAAATTTTTCCAATTTCCTTTTCCCATTAGAGAAAGGGGGGCGGAAGAATTGTAAAAACGAATTGCATTTAGACATGAATGTGACCGTGATTCTTAAAGAATCTGCTCCGGGTAATTCGAGTGGTGAGTACTCACTTCAGGGAATGAGTGGAGTGGAAGATGTTATCTCGAGTGTTTTGGGTTACACCGCGCTAATGTGCCAAATCCAACCACTCGGACCGCTCGATAGGAACAAAACGGAGAAGCCTCTGAACAGTAGGAGTCAGTTAACGTATCCTAATCTCGATGAGTTGAGAAACATTACGAAGCAAGCAAAGGGGTGGGATGCCCCGAGCCCTCTTGGCAACATCACCCATCGGCTCGAGCCCGATGGAACGCCGTACAATTATGCCTCGGCCGCCAAGGGTGCTAAAGTGGTGGCGCATAATAAGGAAGCAAAGGGAGCGAACAATATCTTGGGGAAGGACCACGATAAATATCTCCGGAACCCTTGTTCCGTAAGTTGGAAATATGTTGTCATCGAGCTCGCTCACGAAACTTTGATCGATGTCATAAAAATAGCCAACTTTGAGCACTATTCCTCCAATTTCAAAGAATTCGAGTTGTTGGGTAGTTTAGTGTACCCGAGTGAGGCATGGGAACCGTTAGGGACGTTTGTCGCCGAAAATGTTAAGCATTTGCAATGCTTTAAGCTGCCTCAACCGAAATGGGTTAGATACTTGAGGTTGAATTTACTTAGCCATTACGGTTCGGAATTTTATTGCACGTTGAGCGTCGTGGAGGTGTACGGTGTAGATGCAATCGAACAAATGCTAGAGGATCTTATTGTCACTTCCGGAGAACCTTCCACGAATAAATTGCAAGATCCGAATTCAACTGCGTTACCTTCTATAATACCAGAAGCGGGTTCCACCAACCGAAAACGGGAAGACGATGCTCGTTCCGTGATTGAATCCGTCAATGAGGGAGCCGAGAATGCTGATGAAGGGAAAAAGGTTAAAGTTGACGGGTTAAAGAAGACATCGACTGCAAACACCATTCCCGATCCCGTGAAAGTTAGGCAATCGCCAAATAGCAGAATTCACGGGGATGCTGTCCTTAAGATATTGCTGCAGAAGGTGAGATCACTCGAGCTCAACTTATCTGTGCTGGAGGAGTATATAAAAGAACTGAACCGAAGGCAAGGAGAATTTCTGCCCGAGCTAGACAAAGAGATGTCTCAGCTTTCAGTGCTACTTGAGAAGAACAAATTGGAGATCAAGACTCTCTTGGAATGGAAAGAGATCATGGTGCGTATTACTATATAATTATATATTATATGAAGAAAGTATGTATGCTTAGTCTTTCGATATTGTTAAGAGCCCCACATTGAAAAAATAAGACAGAATATCTGGGTTTATAAGGGCAATGGGTTAGACTAGCTAATTGATTGGATTTGATCTTTTTGTGTGGTTTGCTCATGTGCATTATAGCCTAATTGAGTGACATTGACCCAATCTTAGATTATAACAGATATAAGGCAATGTGTCAGACTAGCTAATTGATTGGATTCGATCTTTTGCCCACGTGCATTATAGCCCAATTGAGTGACCTTGACCCAATCTTAGATTATAACAGATATGGCGAAGTAAATCTACTTTTCTTCGTCAGGAAAAAGGAGTTACCGACTTTGAGACATGGAAAGCCTCCGTTTCGACTCAACTGGAATTATTGATCAAGGAAAACGGCATGCTGAGGTAAATGTTTTTTGAAGCAAACATCTTTAATTTGTTCTAAATTTCTTAGTTTTCTTGTGTTTTTGTTATAAATAAACATCGTTGTCTTATCTTTTCCCCGTCTACTCATTTGCAGATCGGATATAGAAAAAGTCGTGAGCGATCAAGCGAGCTTGGAAAAGAAAGAGCTCGCCGTGCTTGCAGTGAGCTTCTCTTTTGCCTGCATTGCTCTTTTTAAGTTAGTTTCGGAGATGGTGTTGACGTTGTTCGGGTCCCCAATGTCGGACAACGTTTTAAGGACGAGCCGAGGTTGGATTTTGATACTTGTTAGCAGCAGTATGACTATATTCATAACACTGCTTTAGAGGTAGATTGAGACCATAGATTTAGGAAACACTTGACCTTGTAAACAGCTGAACCTTAGCATTAGATTTAGGATTCATTATTATAATGTACTTCATTCATGCTTTTGAGGTCAGAAAGCTTTTGAGTTTTTCATTTTTGTTGTAATTCACTTGTAGAATTGAGTTTTTTTTTTTTTTTTTTTTCAGGTATATATATATATATATGAATAATGGCCTTGCTTACTAAATTCTTGTAACTTTACAGTCATTCATTGGTTCACAGTGTTTTTAGATGGAAACATTTTTACTGGGCATGGTATCTATCGATTCTTTTCTGCACAGGCTTCTGAATTTGTGAGGTGCAAAAATCTTGATTAAAAAAAATAAAAAAATTTCATATTTTCAGGTATAAAATTGAAACCACAAATGATTAATACTGAATCAGGGCTATCAGATCATTCAAATAGAGCTCCTGGAGATGGGAGGAGGCACAGTTTAGTTGGGAGTTTAAGGGTGAAATTTGGAATGAATATCTAGTGTCTCTATTTATGTACATCTCTCTCCCTCATCAAATTAACAACATCGCTTAGCCCGCACAAGTTTAACTCACCGGTTCAGTAAGTAGTATTTTGGAGACGAGACCTCAGTAGCGGAGATCTGCCTAAAGTGGACAGATCCTTTCTACGCACGCACCAGCATCTTGCCCTCTCCGCTGAGCCATTGAGTCACTGTGATTTATATCCTCCCAAATGTTCTGTTAGACCGGGATGTGGGCCTCCTGGGTTTGAATTCAACCTTTTGGAAGTAAAAAACTAACATGGTTTTGCCCGAATTGATAGCTAAATTGGTTATATAAACATGATTTCCCCCTCCATTGATTTCTTTGAAGGTCAAATTACCTTCCATACTCTATTTCTTTAGATTTCTAAGGATATGATGATACAAATGTTCTGATTTCCTTATATCTCTTTAATTCCTTTGAGATTTCTTCATTTACATTGTAGTAGGTGGACTTTAAGGATTAAAATTCCTATCATGCATCGTGATTTTATTAATAGAAAAAAAAAAAGAAATGAAGAAAAATACTATACTATGTAATATAAAGTAAAAACTAGGGGTATATTTAGTATTTACTCAAATGGAAAAGCAAATAGAAAAAGAAGAAAAGTGAAAAAATGAAATACAAATTAAGGGCATTTGAGTCCAAATGAAAAAAATGAGATAACTACTAAAAGAGTTCTACTACATAGACTCTCAAATTCTAATCCCTGAGGTGGCAAATCAGGATTAATTATTTTCATCATGTGGGTCCATAAAAAGTGTTTACATGAAGAACATGTGAGAGAGAGAGTACAAATTGAGAGTATAAAATGGAAGTACATCAAGTATTTTCCCTACTAAAAAGAATTGCATCTCAATAGTCAATTCCAAAGCCGCCACCACCATACTCTAGAGCAAGGCCAAAATGGTAATAATGGAACAAAAACAAAATAAGTGGACAAAAATAGTACACTTTTAAAAACGGGACGAAAATAAGAAAATATTACTTTTAAAAAGGGGACAAAAATAGGAAAATATCATTTGACAAATGCGTTTGATGTCAGATAATTTTATTTTGTTTTTATATTTTTTCGCGGTCAAACAAACACAAAACAAAATTATTTGACATCAAACGCATTTGCCAAAGGATCTTTTCCTATTTTCGTCCAGTTTTCAAAAGTGCCATATTTTTGTCCACTCTTTTTGTTTTTGTTCCATTACAATCTTTGCCCCCTCTAGAGCTGTAGTGGTAAAGGTAAATTTGACTTCTATTACATGTATTCTTAATTCCTATTCTTTCAATTTTATTTCATGATGCAATGGACATTAATAGACTATCTTTTTCATGTGGTCACGTGGATCCTAGAAAAAGTATTAAAATCAAATTTTTGATTGTGAGAATAAAATTTAAGAATAAAGAATGGAAATCCATATAGTATTTTTCGATAAATTATAAGATATGTATCAACGATCTATAATGGGACCACAATCATACTATTCCACTAAATAGAATGATGATTAAAGGCTATGATTCATGTTACCCTTGAACTAGGGATGACAATGGAAACGAATCAACCTATAATTATATTCTAGGTAATTTAATTTTTATATTTTCAGATAACACTAAACAAGTTTGCTCACGCTTTTGCGAGAGATGCACGTTCTCATAGTGACATATCTTGTTGGATTACTACTATCCCTCATTGTATTGAACATTTATTTTAATGAAAGATTTCCATTTAATTTTCAAAAAAAAAAAAAAGAAAAAAAGATATCATTCCTTATTAAATCACTATCTTACTATTTTAAGATTCAAAATAGTATTGAATCAGCAATAGAGAATATTCTATCCCTACCCGCTAAGTAACAAAATACAATTGTTATACCATGGATTATGATTTATATTGCCGGGTAAATCTTGACCCAAAAATTATGTGTCTACAGTTAACACATTTTATATTTAATGTTAATAATTTCTGTACTTGTTAACAAATTGAAAGCATACATCATATACATAAGAAGTTAGTTAAGATGTTATGTGTTTGCAGTTAACATATTTTATACATGCATTTAATAGTTTGTAGTTATAATGTTATGTGTTTTTAATTATAATGTGATATGTCTTTAATTTATTTACAACTATAAAAACGATTAAGTGCAAGTATAAAATGTGTCAATTACAAATATAAAATCTCAAAATTATTTTTAAATCAGAATCTATAATGCAAGGTATATCGTAATTCATGTTATAATTTGTCTCAACAAAATACCACTTTATGTGAGTCGGGTTAAGTCAATACCAGGGCAGAAATACAGTTCTGGGACGCACAAAACCGGTAAAGGAGCAATTCCTAGGTTAGACCTCTCTGGACTCTGTCTCTCTGTACGCGATTCTGCAGCTGCGACTGCTCTCCCGGCCTTCAATCTTCCAGAATCAGAAATACAGAAGCGGCGAATTCAAATTATTAAGCAAAATCATGGATGCTGAAACAGAAACCACAATCTCTGAAACAGTTTTGGAGATCCTAAAATCCTCAAACATGGACGAAATCACGGAGTTCATGGTCCGTAAATCCGCATCTGAGAAGCTAGGTATGGACCTCTCCCAACCGATTCATAAGAAGTTTGTTCGCAAGGTCGTCGAGTCGTACCTCGCCGAGCAACAGGAAAAAGCTGAGCAAAAAGAGGACGAAGAAGGGGAGGAGGAGGAGGAGGAGGAAGAATCCGAGGATGAGAAAAAGCCCCGCCATGGTGACGGCGGATCCACCAAAGAGTACGATGACGACGGTGACCTCATTATTTGCCGAGTAAGCTAGTCCTACCTTTGAATTCAACCGGTTTATTTCTTAATTTTTGTGCTTTTTTCGCCATTCTTTGGTAATGCAGTTAACTGAAATAGTTATAAGCAATTATAAACTCGCAACTTCGATTTGGCTGTGATTATTGTGTGTTTTAGACTATTAAGACTAGTAATTTAGGGTTTAAAGCATTGTATTACGAAGAAAAAAATGCTACTAGATTGTTAATACTATTTGAGTAATGCTAGGTACCCTTCGCTTTTCACATCATTTCTTTACCGACTGAGTTAGAAGAAAAGCTAAATCATTCTTTCCAACAATGAAAATGCTTTTACTATAAGGGGAAATAAGCATTTTCCATTCTATTTATCAAGGTTGCAAAAGCCGCTAGGCATTCCTTAGGGCGTCCCCATTTTTTTTAAAGAAGTTTAAAAAAAAAATTATTTAATACTTTAATAGTTAGTATTAAAATATTAAAAAACATGGAAAAACAGCTAACAGGCAGCCTAAACGCCCGCCTAGTCCGCCGCGACCTTCTAGGCGGCCTAGAACGGTGATTCTGCCGAAATTCTAGGTGGGCCGGCCACGCCTAGCGCCTAGGCGCGATTTTTGAAACATTGCTATTTATTAGCTACCTATGAATTTTGTGAATCCAGCATGAGTTAATCAAATCCTTTACCGGATAGTACACATATCTATTATAAAAAAAATTGGTACATCTTGCATTACCCATATTATAACCCTTAAATTGATTGGAATTGTGTGTTTAGTATAATATAATACAAAATTATTTTCTTAACAAAATTAAAATGTTTGGTTTTGCTGTGCTTTGGTGCAGTTGAATAAGAAGAGAAGGGTGACAATAACTGATTTTAGAGGGAAGACTTTGGTGTCCTTAAGGGAATACTACTGGAAAGATGGAAAAGAGCTTCCTACATCTAAAGGTAATAATTAAATGTTTGATGCCTTTTTCTCTGATGTGTTTCTATGTATTTAAGAAGTTAAAATACCAGCCTGACATTTTTTGGTTGTGTTCAATTTTTTGTTGCAATCATCAAGTCTTCCTCTTTGATCAAATGGGTAGCAATCTCCATTAATAAAGTATAATGGAAGACTATATTCTCGCTAATCATGTACAAGATGCTGGTTCTGAGCCAGATTGATTATACGCGTGTTAATTGATGCTTATTTCTGTCAGTACTGTGGGGAAAGTTGGTGTCTTTTTACTTGTTGATATTCAAATCTATTTTCTTCTTTGAAGGTTTGTGCTTTTATAAATCTTAACCCAAGCACAAATTTTTGGGATTAGGTTAATTGTTGATTTGGGGTTCTGTTAGGACCACATTTCTTTCTCATCATGTAAAATGTGAATCGACCGAGTTGCTAATTGTCTGTTTGAATAGTCTTCACCCATATTAATCTTACTAGTATTTTATATGCGCGATGCGCAAAAAATATATGCCCAATATTAAAATTAAATATTAAAATCTTAGTTATATTAATTTTTTAAAAATAATAATGTGTGTGTGTGTGTGTGTGTGTGTATATATATATATATATATATATATATATATATATATAATTGTATAATTCATATTAATATTATTGAGGTAATAATTATAGAAATGATAAATTACTAAATATAACTATGGTAACATTTTAATTAAAACATAAATGAATTCAAACTTGCCATTGAAGGATGTAAAAAGAAAATATTGTGTATGCATGTACATTGTAATAATAATGTGGAAAAATACAGAAGTTATAACGGCAGAGGGATACTTTTGTCCAAAAAATTATGTAGTACAACTTTTATAGCATAAGGTACAAAAAATATTAACAGAAAAAACAGACATAAACTAGGGGTATAACCTAGATTGGAACTTATTATGTTTTTAGATAGATATTCTGTGGCATGGATCTAAGGATCTGCAATGCATTGGCTTACGCTTGAGCAAAACTTCGTGTTCTTAGATGTGAGTTTGGTTTTACATTTAGATCATGCCTCCACTTTCAATGGAGATTTGCAAGGAGGCTTGAGAATGCCTCTTCCCTTTCTCCACTGTATTGGAGAGCAGTAGTTGCTGCCCTTGTGTTTACATTTTCCACTGTTAATATCTTCATCTGATTCGTTTTTCATCCTTTTCTAATAATACTGTGAATGAGAACTGACACTAATTTCATATTGCTTTCCACAGGAATAAGCTTGACTGCCGAGCAATGGGCATCATTCATGAAGAACCTTCCCGCAATTGATAAAGCTATCAAGAAAATGGAATCGAGGGTAGATTGAGGTGGTCGGTTCTATTAGTAATAGAACCATGTATCCATGTTCTTTCACTATGGTTCTTAGAACAGTATGGGTAATATATGTCCAGCCATTTGCTCCCTGCTTCTTTAACTGGTTCCCAGAGCAGTACTTTGTTCTCTAAGTGGGTACATATCATGGTTTTTCAGTCATGCCAAATGAACTAGTATGCCATGTTCCATTCTCTTCATTGTGTGTGTGATATTATATGTGTTAGCATGTAATGTATAAACATATGTCCTGCCATTTTCTCCCTGCCTCTTTAACTGGTTTCCAGAGCAGTACTTTCAGTGGCGGATCCAGAATTTTTTTTCAGCGGGGGCAAAACATTAAAGCAAAATTGATAATTAGAAAAAAAAATGAAACACTTAAAAGGTGAAAATAATAGTGAAGCAATATGCACTATTAATAATAGTGAAAATGTGCAAAGGTAGTGTTGAAAGCATATGAGAAGATTTGAACCCTAGCCTACCTTAAGTTCAACCACATGCTAAGCCAATTAGGCTAACCTTACATTTGTCTATTTTCTAATATTTATACTAAAACTTTTACTATATATAAACATATACATATAAGGGTTATATAAGGGAGGGGAGGGGAGGGGAGGGGAGGGGAGGGGAGGGGTGGGGTGGGGTGGGGTGGTGTGGGCTGACTCCACTGCTCCCACTGTAGGTCCGCTCCCGAGTACTTTTTTCTCTAAGTGGGTACATATCATGGTTTTTCAGTCATTTTTTCTTGCCTAATGTTCCATTTTAAGGAGGGTGATCTTCATTCCCAACCTATACCTAATAAAAAGTGAATGAATTGGGGAAAATGGGACAGGGGCACCATGTGACATATTGTACAACATTTATATCCATCCGAGTGGCAAGGGAATATGAACGCTGTATATATACCATTGTTAGTTACGTTCATCAACAATTATCTTTCTCATGGGCGGAGCTACAGTGGGTTCAACTGCGGCTTTGGAATTGAGTATAATATCCGATGGTATATGATTGGTCAATTGGAAATCTCAAAAAAAGCACATATGTGACTCAAATACTGACTGCGTCAACTCACTTGTTTGCGGTAAAGGATATCTATGTAGATGCCGTAAAGGTTATTGAGGAAACCCATACTTGCTTGTAGCCGGGGAATTCGGCGAGGAGTTGTCGGACTGATTTGGGGCCTCCGAGGTGTAACAGTTGGCCGGAATCTGTCGGTCTTTGGTTACATTGTCTACTGCTTTGAGAGAGCAATTCCCCATGGATAGATATGTGGATTCAAATTTCTCCACTTTTTATTGTCACTTTGTGATTTGTGAAGGAATCATTGGGTTGTTGTCATATATATACTCCCACCTTCTCCTTTTTAATTTCTTCCTATTCACAATCCAATTTTTTATTTATTTTATTTAGTATTCATATACAAAATAAAAGCATTTAAAAATTACACTAAAAGTGTTACTAGGAAAAAGGTTTAAATTTGAAAATTATAAAAGATTGTTTAAAAAGTTATAAAAAAAAAGAAAAAGTTGATTTCACCAACAAATAATATATAACTTTTGAACTTGGCGTATATATATATATACACGAAAATGCTTGTTTATTTTTACAATTAACACTCCCTTAGTTAAGAAAATTTATTTATTTTCATGAATTACATGAATTGGTTGGCACACTCCGAGTTAATAATGAATTTATTTATCAAATAAAAATGTGAAATATATGGCTAATAAAGAATGATAATTATTGTATAGTAAGAGTTTCTAGAATGGTTCATATACAATGTTGGGCGGAGGTCGGTAAAAGGTCGATCAAGTCCATCAATTCGTTGCTAGGGGATTGTTGGGCAAAGACTCGTGAATGACCAAGTCTAACACACTGCCTCTTGAAAATGTGATGATGGTCTATAAAAAAATAAAATTACGCCTTCGTTACTAGCTATAACTTTTGATGTTGTGGTAAACGCTTTATACTAACAAGTGATATCAGAGTAGTATATTTGGAATAATTGTTTATGGATCATTTCTCGCCAGAGTGTTTTTTTTTTTTTTTTTTTTTTTTTTTTTTTGAAGTATTGTTGAAGTTAAATCTCAATTTATATAATTTTTTTTTAATTATATCTCAATATCATTTCTAATAAATTATTTGAACAATAAATAAGAACAAATTTTGGCATTTCATAAATATATTATATTTTCCTTTCCTTTTCTATTTTATTTAATTTCCCCTTCCCTTTCCTATTCTCCTACAAACTAAATTTATCAAAATTGATAATCTCTTCATAGCTACTTCGCCTACACTGAGGCTCAAAATCACAACCTCCCATATGGGAGTCCAACCCGGGTGCCATCTGTGCACAAGGTGCTTAGCGAGCGAAAAATGAAGGTGTACTCATGACTTCTCCTATTCCATATATGATATGACAAGCATGGTTAGATGACTTAGATCAATGTTTATAAGTACTTCCTCTGTCCCATTTTATCTGTCCTACTCACTATAAGTACTATTCGATGTTTATAAGTACTTCCTCTTTCTTCTTTGTTTATTTTCTTTATTATTTTTTACTTATTTTTAAATTTGTTTTTGTTTTTTGTGTGTTTAGTATTATGAAAAATTAGATTAAAAATAACTTCAGTTAAACCTGGTTAACTGAACCAGACACATAAAATAGGCCGGAGGTAATTATAAGCTAAGATAATAGGTATAGGTAAATAATTTTAATTAAGTCTCATTATCTTAATAAGACAAAATCACATGAATGAATTATTTAAAAAAAAAAAAAAAAATCCTTAGATGATGTGAAATTTTCAAAATAATATGATGTAACATGATCAACGGCCAACTAATAATACTTATGTAAAAAAGCAGATGTAAACAATTTAGTAGACGGCCATCGTACGTGATTAGGCACTAACGTTAGACTACGTGTACTTGCTAAACATATATATTCCTAAATCTGTCCTTCTTGTTTCTTCTTCAAATTGAGGTGTAAAAATTATTTATAGCTTTTTAAAAGTTTTATTCATGGGCGTAGATGAAACAATCATTATAACGTTTGTCCACCTTGTAATATGAATCACTACTATAAAATTTAATTTTAGTATGCTGAATATTCATTTTTAATATATTGAGTGTTTATTTTTAGTGTAATGATGATTCATGATTTGATAGATTATTTAAAAATGAACATTTATCAATGGTCCACAATATAATTTGCTGTAGATGAGATTACATGAATCACTTCTAATTTAAACTTTGAACATCTCATATGCTCAACATTTTTTGTCAAAAAATATGTGGTTTCAAACTTAAAATTTAACACATTAAGATGGTTTTCTATTGGAGATTTGGTTGGAATGACCATTGCACCAAATATATTATAAGAGATGAGAAAGGGAGTTTTGTTGCTGCCTTTCAACACAGATTCGAATGCTTGTATCAACCTAAAATAGGGGAGGCTATTGCGATCAGCGAAGCTCTAAAGTGGTTAAAAGCTTTGGATTTTCATTCGGTTATTGTTAAATCAGATGCACAACTTGTAATCTTAGGCTTCAAGGCTTTCTCTTCTATGTCTTCTTTCCATCTTATTCTTCAGGACATTAGAAACCTAGCTAGCTAATCACTTTCTTCACATTAGCTTTTTATTTGCTAAACGATTCGCGAACAAAGCAGCTCACGTCTCAGCCCAGGAAGCTTTACTCTTAGCCGATCATAGGGAATGGATGGATGTTCCTCCTTTTTCCCTTTTATATGTACTTGTGAATGACTTAAATTAATGAATTGTCTTATTTTCAATATATATATATACACAGCAGTTGAAACTTGAAAGCATATTAAAAAAGTTTATATTTGGAGTATTAAAAAAGTTACAATTGAGCAAGGGATTCGAACACTAGACCATTTTTATTTCTATAGAACAACAAACACACGATTACCAACTCATCTAACCTAACCTTTGTTTACTTTTATCTGTTTTCCTATATTTATATCTAAAACATGTACTATATATACATATATATACAAGGGCTATATAGGGTGGGGGTGAGCGGGGGCAGCTGACCCCACTCACCCCACTGTAGCTCCACCCCTGTAGATCGGAGTAGTGTTAAATATAATTAATTAATTAATGCTTAATTATTGGTAACTTTAATTTGTTGATTATTGTTTACAGTTGTTGAAAAGTATCCTGAAGCATTGAGATTAGATAGATCACATACTAAGAAGGATTATGTTAATTTCTAATCTAATCACCCATAATATGTGTCCATATTTAGTAAAAAGTGAATGAATTTGAGAAAATGGGGCAGGGCCACCATGTGACACTCACCCCCACCCTATATAGCCCTTATATATATATATATATATATATATATATATAGTACATGCGTTCGATATAAATATATGAAAATAGATAAAAATAAACAAAGTTTAGGTTAGATGAGTTGGTAAGTGTGTTTGATGTTAGGCAAAATTTGAAATAGTCTAGGGTTTGGATCTCTTTCCCAATGTAATTTATTTATTTTTAAATCGTTTATATATATATTTTGAATTATTTTTTTTATATATATTTTGAATTTTATAATTATAATTATGTGTGTTTTTATGCTGTAAACTGCTTGTGCAGCTGCTTCAATGGTTGCACATTGTTTTTTTTCTTAATTATAATTTACCATCGTTTGTTGTCGACTTTGACCCATGTCCAGTAGTTCAAAGACTATGATTTATTTGCTTCTAGTTCATGGTTTCACAAAAAAATTGTTTTGTTTACAAAAAATCAGTTTTTATGTTTTCTGCATATGCTTATGTGTTGATTTAATGTAAATGAACTTAAAGATGTGTAATCATGACTATAATATATTGCTTAGAAGATTCAAGGTGATGACACTGTCAAGGTATGACTTTCTCTACTCTGAATCATTTTTTGTGCTTTATTTTGTCTTAAATAACCTCATGTTCTTTTAGTAAAGTGGTAAATGTTTAAAGTTCTGTTATAAGTTTGTTAGGTTTACTCATCAGACATTTTGTGTGAATTGCGATAGTTATTTAATTTTATTTTACTTTGTATATTCAATTATTGATTGTTATGAGGCAGGCATCATTGAGGGTATAATTTTCTGTTTACTTTTCAGGCCTATGCAATATCAGCACTAACCAAAATATATTCCTTTGAAATAGCAGCGGGAAAAAAATTGACATTTTGCCTGAGGTAAGGTGTTTTATATTGTTACTTTTTAAGTTTACACCAATCTGTTGGATTCTCAAATTTGTTTAAGATGCCTTTTGATTACTAAGTAAATACAACTCCTTCAACTCATTATAATTTTGATCTTTTGATTCCTAAGTAAATAACTCATTATAATTTTGATTCCCATTGATATTTCATTCATGTTTGCTAGCTTGGGTATGTTTTTTTTTTTTTTTTTTTTTTTTTTTGTTTTTTTTTTTGTTGAATGCAGCTTGGGTATGTAAATACTCTGGTTTTTTTTTTCTTATTGCAAATTAATACGATTTTATTTTATTTTATTTTATTTTTTTTTGGCAAAAAACTGAAATCCTATTGCTATTTTTTTAAAAATTTTTTAAGAAAATACGACGTCGTTTTCTATAAAAAAAAAATTTTAAAAATGGACATAAAACGTCGGTTGTTTTGAACAACTGACGGCTTATGTCTTTTTTTTTTTTTTTTTTTTTTAAAAAATAAGCTAGGACGTCGGTTGTTATAAACAATTGATGTCGTATCGTTTACTTACAACGTCGGCAGAAAATCGACGTTAAAAGTGCAAAAAAAATCGACGTTAAAGGCTTTATTTGTAGTATTGATTATATGTTACTAACAGCTTGCCAATTTGGCCATTTATATATGGATAATCAAGCTGTAAAACATAACTAGCTTGGTTGGTGATGTGGATAAAACCACCGTAGTTCAGTAGAGTAGAATACTAGGTTGACCGATCGAATAACGTGACCGGGAACCTCTTAATTACCAAGTCTAAGGTAGGTAAAAACCCCTCCCTAAGGCAATAAATGCAGTATTTATAGGAGACCTAGGAAGCAGGGCCGTCCCTGGACATGTCTGCCCAGGGCAGGCGCACAGGGCCCCCAAAATTTTGGGGGCCCCTTAATTAAAAAAAAAATATAGCATATATAGGCTTTTGCCTTTTGGGCTTCAACCAACTAAAAATTAAAGAAAGCCCAATGTTGGTGAACCTTTCTTTAAAAAACCAAAGCCCACATACACACCAACACACGTAACAAATATATCAAATACCTATAACCTATTAACTATATAACCTAAACCTAATCTAAATTCTAAAGTACACAAACACTCAAACAGAAAGTCGGAAAGAGAAATCGCAGAAGAGACGAGACTCAAAGAGACTAAATTACAACAAATTGCTTACTACCTAGCAACTTAGGTATTTGAACTTTTACTCTTTTAATTTGACGGTGCTATTTGTGAATTCTAGGTATTTGAATTAATTCAAATATTGAATTTTTTTAATTTGAATATTTGTGTATTTGAACTAGATTAGGTAATTCAAATTTGGGAAAGACGACAGATTCTACTCGTGTGATACTGATTCTTCAATTCTCAAAGTCTCAAGTTCTTCAATTCTCTTGATAGGTAATTAAAATTACGTATTATTTTACAATTCTTGTTTATTTGTTTTATTTACATGACTTAATAATTCTGATTTCAGAATAATATATTCAAGAATTTGTTTCTTGATTAATTATTTATTCATAGAGTTTCTAAATAAATTTTTATTTTTTCCTTAGGATTTTATGTCTTCCAGAAAATATTCATCTGGGTTTGAGAAGCGTAAAAAGAAAAGAAGAATTGAACAATTTAGTTAATTTAGTTAGCAAGCAATTACAAACAAAAGATATGCTTCTTGATGTTGCTATTAATCAAATTAAAGGGTTAGTTTCTTTCTTCAAGAATTATAGAGAAAATGGTTTTTCTGCTGCCATGGATACTGCAAAGGAAATTGCCACTAAATTAGAAATTGAGCCAGTGTTTCCTCAAAAGCGAAAAATTCGTAGAAAAAGACAAATTGATGAGAGTGCTGATGATACTTCACTATCTCCAGAAGAATCTTTTAGGGTTGATTATTTTTTATACATTATAGATCAAGCTATTATTTCATTGACCCAGAGGTTTGAGCAATATGAAGGAACATTTGGTTTTTTGTTTAGTTCTCACAAGTTACAATCGATGGCTGATATGGATTTGAAATCTTGTTGCATTTGTTTAGAAGCAGCTCTTAAGAGAGATGAACAGTGTGGTGATATTGACGGAAATGAATTGTATATTGAGCTAAAATTGCTTAGAGAGATTTTATCGAAAGAAAATATAGGAGCAGTGAGTATATTGAATTCATTGAAACAGTTGGGTTGTTTTCCAAATGCTTCTATTGCATATCGAATATTATTGACTATCCCAATTACTGTTGCCTCTGTAGAAATGAGTTTTTCAAAGTTGAAATTGTTGAAATCGTACTTACGATCAAGTATGTTGCAAGAGAGACTGAATGGATTAGCTTTAATCTCTATTGAAAATGACATTTTGGAAGAAGTTGATATCAAAAGCTTGGTGGATGATTTTGCGTCTAAATGTGCACGACGCATGTCACTTTTTAAATGAAATTTTAGATGTATTTTTTTATAGAATATTTATATTTTAAATTTTTGAAGACAACTTTTTGAACAATTATTATTTATATATAAAAATTAATTAAAAAAGGGGCCCAAATTAAAATATTGCACAGGACCCCAATTTTTATTGGAACGGCCCTGCTAGGAAGCGGTGCCCGGCCTTTCGGCATGGCGGGCACGTGGCGTTCATGCACCGGGTCTTGAGTAGGTGAGCATGTAGCCGTGCACGTGGCGTGCGTCTCCCGACAGCTGCGGGGGCCTTTGACCCGAACGGTCACCCCTCCAGGTCACCGGCCACCACCGGAGGAGGACTCCTGAGCAACGGGTACGATAAAGGCGACCGGGAACAAGCTGGAGCATGGCGCTGACCGGGCTGGATGACACACGAACAACAGGTAGGAAGATAGACTACGGGTGACCGGGTGGAGTTTAGGGCGCACCTTTTACCGGGCCGGATAACCCGTATGTGCAGGGTATAATCCCCTTCAGTTGGCGTGAGTGGTCGTGTACTCTTGTCCAAAGAGTTTGAATCACTTCTAGTATGAAAAAATCAGTCTGGTCAACATTTTGTCCCTTAATTGAACCGGCCTGAATATGGTATGGGCTTAAAGGTGTCTCACACCATTAGGTTACAAAACATGTAAATTGTAGTTATGATTAACAACATCTGGGCATGAAAATATGCCACATTGAACCATTTAAACATACCTTAATCACTCACTAATTATACATTAATCAGTCATTAATTGGAAAAAAAGCTTCCCATTTTAAGCTAAATCAAATCAAAACCCTATCTTGGGCTGCTACTGCAAGAATCCATTGCCTGAACTTTACTCTGATTCTCAAGAGGCAGCTTAAAAGCATTTGTAAAGATAACCTTCAAACTCCTTCTTCTTCCCTTGGGTGATTGTGAAGATATGGCAGCAGACCTCATTTGCTCAATCATGGCTTCTGTATTCTCATCCTCCGCTAAAATCTCTCCCAGTTGCTGAGAATCAATCACAAACTTCACCTTCCACACCCCCTTCCGCGGCGGCGGCAGAACCTCCAGTCCCGACACCCTCCTCACTTCATTTTCCGGCGCCGCCTCCTCCGTTTCTCCGGCGACGGGGAGGAGATAGTAGAATTGGCCGTCCAGGAGGTGGTCTTGCTCGCTCATCGGCGCCGACATGTGGCCCTGGCCGTAAACGTTGTAGCCGGGGAATTCGGAGAGGAGTTGTCGGACTGATTTGGGGGCTCTGAGGTGTAAGAGTTGGCCGGAATCAGTGATGATCCTCGCGAAGCCGAGGTCTTTGGTTGCATCGTCGATTGCTTTGAGAGAGCAATTCCCCATGGATAGATATATGGATTCAAATTTCTCAACTTTTGTTGTCACTTTGTGATTTGTGGAGGAATCATTGGGTTGTTGTTATATATATATACTCCCACCTTGTCCTTTTTAATTTCTTCCTATTCAGACAACAAAACATCACTCAAACTCTATTCACAATCCAATTATTTATTTATTTTATTTAGTATTGATGTACAAAATAAAAACATTTAAAAATTACTACACTACAAGTTTTACTAGGAAAAAAGTTTAAATTTGATATATATATATATATATATATATATATATATATATATATATATATATATATATATATATATATATAAAAGCAAAATGCTTGTTTATCTTTACAATTAACACTCCCTATTAGTTCAAAAAAATTATTTATTTTCATGGATTACATGAATTGGTTGGTACACTCTGAGTTAATAATGAATTTATTTATCGAATAAAAATGTGTAATATATGGCTAATAAAAAATGATAATTGTAAGGGATTCTAGCATGGTTGTATACAATTTGTCAAGAATAATTAGTTTAAAATGATATTAAAATCAATATAATCCATTTACATCAAACTTAAACTATTAAAACATTTGGGCATCTGGTTGGAGGGAGTTACAATTCTATTCCTATTTGACTCCCACCTAATTCCAAAAGCAAGTGCATTCCTTCGTTTGGTGGGAGGGAATTGCAATTACGCGAAATTGCAATTCTCTCATTTTCATGAAATTAGAATTCAATGCCCTCCCTTTGTATTTCTATTTCTTGGTTTTTAGGAAGAAAAAAAGTAGCTTTGAGTCAAAATTGCCCATTTTTTAAAAACTTAAAATTGATGTCTAACATCTCCCTCTCGATTACAATGTGTCTTCTTCTTTGACTCTCAACACATCATTAGTAGACCAATCTTAATCAAATATGTTTTCTCAAAACTCTTTAATTTATTTTATTGCTTTCAATTCAATTATAGGGTGTTTTTATAGTGCGTTACATAAATTTTCAAAACTAAAATTTAAATTTGGTCTGTGTATATAGCATACTTGCCTAAATTTTTAATAGTAAAATTTAAATTTGATTTATGTGTTTCCAGTTCAAGAGATATTGTAGATGAGTGATATTTGAATTTTTTTTTTTGTGTGTTCAAATATGCATATGCATATGGGTCAAAGAGATACTTGTCATTTAATAATAATAATAATAAGTATGAGCATGCCAAATCCCTTGTGATCTGATGACATTACTATTGTTTTACGTACATAAGGAAGGTCTCGGATTCAAGTATCTCCTCTCTCTTTTTGAATAAAAATATAACAAGAGTGCAACTTGCGTGTCTAGCTCACTACCGTAGTACTGCGTCAACTGGGCGCGTAAATATACCTTTTATACACTTTTTACACTTTTTTTAGAGAAAAAATGTCAGAATTTATTTAATTTTTCCTTTTTCTTTTTCACTTACATTTTTATCTCTTTCCTAATCACACTTACAAAAATCCTTCAAAAAGTGTAACGGAGATCAACTACTAAGGACGCTCTAAGAGCATCCACACTAGTAGTTATTTAGGAGTTATTTCTACATGAATTCTCTCCATCCAAAGTTAATAGCTGATGTGGGGAGGAGTTATTTCAAAAATATTTCTCGTGCAAAGTATGGTATATTTGTGGGCCCAGTAGGTAAGAGAAATAATTAAAATATAGTGGGTTAAATGGTGGATTTATAAAAAACTGAGAAATAACTCAAAACTGATGTGGAGAAGGGTTTATTGTGATTGAATGAGATGGTGGAGGATCTGGTGGATGCTGGGACCCACAAATAACTGAGAAATAACCTCAATTGATAAGGATGCTCTAAGTATAATTATAACCTAAGATAATAGGTATGGGTAATTAAAGTGTAGAAGTCACGGATTGAAAAGGACCAAATTAAGGGGAAGAAGACAAGGCAGGCGGAGAAGAAATTCCCATTTTCTTTGAAAATTTGAAAGCAAAAATTTAGGGAATGGACCGTTGGGTGCATGAATTAAGCTCAAAGTAATCTGAAACAAAAAAACATCCTTAATTTAAGTAATAATTAATATAGTAACATGACATGTGAATGACAATTTAGGTTTGGAGGAACATGGCAATTTGTACTAGGGGGTTTGAACTTTGAATCTATGGATTCATCTTTTTCATATTTAAAATGCATTTGGTTTTTATTGTCAGTTTTTTTTTTTTTTTTTTTTTTTTTTTTTTTTTTTTTTTCAGAATTAGTCAGGATTCCTTGTCTCCCCCAACTAAAATTAACGTTAAAATGCATGTAGTTAAGGTTATATATTCACATCACCTTTTATTTTTTAATAATTAAAATTTTATAATTTCATGATAGTATATCTTAAACCTTAGAGTAATATTACATATACTCCCACTTTCTACTTCATTTTGTACTCCTTGTTGAAGTGTCATTATTTGATTGGTTTAAATAACAAAGTGAGCCGCCACTATTTTTCTTCATTCTCTTGAATTTATTGGTACGCGTGGCGGGAGTTTATACTCCATGGGAGTACATATATCACTTTCCTAAACCTCATAAGGGCATCCCCATTAAGAGATTATACGCAGTTTTTTTAGGCAAATTTTGCTTAATTGGAAGAGAGAAGGTGAGGAGAGAGAAACTAAAAGTTCTCCCTGCAATAACGGGGTTCTTATCAGACTGTGGGTCCCACTTGAATTAAAGAGCAGTCGCGCAGCACGTGAGTGCTGCGCAACACATCGCCAGGCCGACGCGTGAACTGCACACGCCCGGCTGGTGCGTCAGACAGCTTCCTTTTATTTTTTTATTTTTTGTTTTGTTGACTTTTCATTTTTTGTTTTTTTTTTGTTTTTGTTTTTTTTTTAACCTCCTACCACATTTTCTCTTTCCAAATCACACCTACAAAAATTTTTCAAAACTCACACCAAAAACCTCACTATTGAGGATGCTCTAAAACTATTTCAAGGTCCATTGAACAAGTAAATCTTGAGTTGCTTACGTGATTCCAAATTTCTCACTGCATATATACTTCTATGCATAAGAAGTCTTCAACACATCACTTTAGTAATGTGCGTATTAAAATGTTAAAGATTATCATTAAAATGCGCCAAAGACCTTATGGTCAAGCGGCATAATTCCTTTATCTAATTTTAACAAGTTATGTTTATATTTATTTTTTGTCAAAGCAATCTTATTTTTTCGCTTATTTTCTTTAATAATTTTTTTTAAAATTTTAAATTAGACACTTTGTATTTATTAGTAGTTCTCATATAGTTACTAAATATATATTAATTTTATACCATTTTTTTTGTGAGAAAGGCACCGCCCAAGGCGAATTTGTATTTATTAGTAGTTCTTATATAGTTACTAAATATATATAAATTTTATACCATTTTTTTTGGTGAGAAAGGCGAATATTAACTGACTCTTCAAAACCTAGCACTATTGGCATCGGTCGAAAAGAGCCATCTCCACTGAGACTCAAACCCATGACCTCCTATATGGGAGTTCAACCTTGGTGCCATTAGATTGTAAGGCCTTGGCAAGTAACTGATTTTAGTTAAATCTTATTATCCGAATTAGACACAAAATGACATGATTGAATTGTTTAAAAAAAAAAAAATCCTTGGATGGTGTGAAATTTTTAAAATAATATGATGTAACTTGTTCAACGGCCACTAATAATACTTTTGTAAAAAAGCAGGTGTAAACAAATTAGTGGACGGCCATCGTACGTGATTAGGCACTAACGTTAGACTATGTGTACTTGCTAAACATATATATTCCTAAATCTGTCCTTCCTGTTTTTTCTTCAAATTGAGATGAAAAAAGAAGGTAAAAATGATTTATAGCTTGTTAAAAGTTTTATTCATGGGTGTAGATGAAACAATCATTATACCGTTGACTACGGTCCACCTTGTAAGATAAATCACTACTATAAAATTTATTTTTAGTATATTGAATATTTATTTGTAATATAATAAAGATTCATTATTTGATATATATTATCTAAAAATAAACATTTTTAATGATTTGCATAATAATATAGACCGTGGCCCATAATACAATTTGCTTGTAAATGAAATTACGCAAATCACTTCTAATTTAAACTTGTTTGAACATCTCATATTCTCAACATTTTTGGTCAAAAAATTATGGTTTCAAACTAAAACTTTAACACATTCAGATGGTTTTCTATTGGAGATTTGGTTGGAAATTGGAATGACCAAATGTAGCAAAATACTAAAGTTGTGCACCAAATATAATTAAAATAATATTTTAAAAAATAAATGTCACATTACTGTGGGTAGAACATGATGAATGTCACGAGTTTTATTCTTGCCAACATTCTTTTGGTATAGCCTATCGTGTGTGGTTTGATGACTATTATATATATCAACAAAATTTATTTAGTGCAGACTCTCGATTAATGATTGTAGATCTCCCTTATCAAAAAAAAATTTAAAAATTCAATTGTCCATTTTATTATCCAATCAACCATCCTCAAACTTCCCAATATTAGTTTTCCTATAAGTCACGCCAACGAAACTTCACAAAACTCACACCCACTCTCTATAGATGTGGTGGATATTAGTTATATTTCTCCCTATAATATTACAAGTTTCCAATTAAAGTTTTCGTGACTAATTTTACAATATAAAACAGATGTAGACAATGGATGATGTATATGACTACATACATACCACTATATTAAATGCTAGCTAAAATAATAACACCATGTTGTTGTCCATAAGTCCAAGTTTGCCCAACCACATAAATGAAATTTGACAGGACAAAAATATTACTAAATAAAGAATAAAATATAATTCTCATTTTATTGTTTGGTTGGTTCAAAGTATTTGTGTTTAGAAAACATTTGAATGTTAAAGCTAATTTAAACAAATGAAAGTCCAATTACCATTTTTTTTTTTTTTAACTTTAGAATTTGTTAAATTGAAACAATAAGCAGTTAAGCACTAATTATTTTTGTCTCTATTTAATTTGTACAATTTATAAGTACAA